ACTTCCGGAATCAGCTCTGATATGGTGGAGATACCACATCGGAATCCATATACCAGTGACCTGTAGCTGTCCCCAGTGGCCAGATGTCTCAAGGTGATTGCAAGCTTGAGGCCAGCGGGCAGGGGATGCCTGTAGTTAGTCTGCTGCTTCTGGATGACTGGTGCCACTCTCTCCAGGATATCATCGAACACCTCAGGGGTAAATCTGGTGAAGTTTCTGAAGGTAGCAGGGTCTTCTAATCTGAGTTGTGTATCCAGGAGGCTAGTGTATTGACCATACTGTTGTCTTCTTTCTTCAGTGAGCCATGGCCTGGTCCAGCAGCTCCTGATGAATGGTCTTCGTCTTCTCCCTCCTGCTGATAGGTCAACCTCCCCTTGTCTTTGCTGTTCTTCCTCCGCCTCAAGGGCTATGATGTAGTTATACAGTAGGGAGACAAACTTCATGTCTTCTTAAGATAGATTATGAACTGGTACATCTGGAACTTCTGCATCTTGTAGTTCTGCCATCGTGTTGTGGAGTCAAAGATGCAAAGATTTTGTGGATCTGCTCTGGAGCAAAAGCGGCATGAAATCGGCGATCTCAAAATTTTCCAATGCGTAACACAGCTTAACAATGCACAACAGAGCTTGAGAATCGTATCAGAGCGTGATTTAAGGCGTCGTAATCGCATCAAAGCGTAATAAAGCTTATCAAAGCGTGATTTAAAGTGTAACAAAGCGTAACAAGGCCTGATCAAATCGGGAAATAATTCGTCCCCCAAAGCGTACCAATTCGTATCAGAGCTTATCAGAGCGTAACACTACTTAGGAGATCGTGATATTTCTGGAAAAGTAAACAAACATGATGGCGCTTTGCTCGCCGATTTAAAGCGCGGCATTCGCCGTTGGTGTGAACCATGCATTAGGGCGTTCTTTTGTTGCATTTTTTGTTTTAATGTCATGCATGATATTTCGTGTGAATCGGGGTCAAATTTTGATTATATATTTTGATATCATAAAAAGATGGTTGTACAGGGTTATCATAATTCAATATCATGAGCGTGTAGTCTACAAACATATATACAATTTCTTCAATCAAAACAATCTAATATATGAATTACAATCAGGATTCCTACCAAATCACTCTTGTACTCATCAACTTATAGAACTCTACCACTCTATGCTTTTATCCTTAGAAAATCATGAACATGTAGCATTTATTTTCTGTGACTTTTCTAAAGCCTTCGATAGAGTTTGGCATAAAGGTCTTATTTACAAACTGAAACAACATGGACTGTCAGGAAATATACTTAATTGGATAACTAATTATTTGTCATGCAGAAAACAGTCTGTCTATGTAAATAGTTCTAACTCGTCCTTAAAAACAGTCAATGCTGGTGTCCCTCAGGGATCTGTTCTAGGGCCTCTCTTTTTCCTCGTTTATATAAATGATATATCTATTGAACTCACATCATTGTCTCGTCTCTTTGCCGACGACACGTCATTATCATACTCTTCACAAACTCTAGATGATATTGTACATGTGGTAAACAACGACTTACAAACTCTAGAAAAATGGTCAAAAGATTGGCTAATGTCGTTCAATCCTAAGAAGACGGAAATTATGTTAGTATCCTTTTCAAATCTACCCTATCAACCTCTGTTTACGTTCAATAACATCCCTATTGAAATAACCGATCAACATAAGCACCTAGGTGTATTACTAAGTAGTGATGCCAAGTGGTCCAAACATATAGATGAAATTATCAAGAAAGTATCAAAATACACAGCAACACTTCGCAAATTGAAATTTATACTTAATAGGGATAACTTAGAGAAATTGTATTTAACATATATTAGACCAATATTAGAGTATGGCTGTGAGGTATGGGATAACTGTGGTGCTATCAATTCAAATAATCTTGAAAAACTACAACTAGATGCGGCCCGTATTGTCACAGGATTACCAATGTACACAAAAAACGAATTGTTATATGCAGAAATTGGGTGGCTACCATTGTCAAAACGAAGAGAAATCAGAAAACTGTCCCTCCTTTATACTATAAAACATGGCACTGCACCCTCATACTTATGTAATATCCTACCTCAAAATATTGGAGATCTGACTCATTATAATTTAAGAAATTCTCAGCAATTGCGGCAGCAACGGTATAGACTCCAAACTATGCGCAACTCTTTCTTTCCTTCAACTGTTGATCTTTGGAATAATTTAGACACAACCATAAGACACTCCCAAACTCTGAACTCGTTCAAATCAAATATACATAAGTTGAATAATGTAATAACTAAATGTAATCCATGCTTTCTCAATTTTGGTCCGCGTAGGCTAAATATTCTTCATTGTAGATTAAGAAACAGGGCAAGTACTCTCAATTATGATCTTTTTAGGGCTAATCTTAATTTTTCAGCACAATGTGAATGTGGACACACGTGCGAGGACTCGTATCACTTCTTCTTCACATGCCCTAAATACCACATCCGACGCCTTTCCTTATTGCAGAATTTAGCATGGTATCCAGGAGATATGTCATTAGACCTAATTCTAAAGGGTGATATAGATTTAAATAATGAGGCAAACTCAAACATTGCAAGAATGGTGCAAGTCTATATCGACGGTACTGGCAGGTTTTGACATTTTGAGCACTCCCCCACCCCCCCTCTTATTTTATTCGTTTCTAATATCCTTTATACTTTGTGAAATAAATATAATATAATATAGTATGAATATCAATGTTAATATGTTTACATAATTTTGAATAATTGTGTATCTGATCTGGCTGGTATGGAGGACGGGCTTTGAGAACACGGAACGGTTACGAGTGGATCTACAGAATACAGCTTTATGGAATGTGATGGACACAGTTTATGAAAGTGTTGATTGATGTTTTTCCAGCCAGTCAGATTACTGTTAACCAAATATTGTTTTAAACATTTACATGGGTTTGTATATTATATATATATTTAGGGGATGATCCTACCTATCTTTTACCCTTCTTCTTCTTGCTTTCCTTCCCTCGCTGTTTCTACTATATGATCGGATAAAGTTAATTCACTGCTGTCCATTATGTATTAAGGAGAGGGCGTTACTAAGTTGGCAAAACTTGTGCTCAATCCTAATTGTCCTTATTTACGACAATAAAATTATGTTTAAACTAACATCAAAATGGTATTTTGAAAGTGTGAAAAAGAATAATTTCTAGGATTCTAACAATCGCAAATACAACATACAAAACCAATATCTTGAATAACAAATTGATCAGAAAGTGAAATGAGAGTTTGTGTTCAGCATTTTTCATGACATCAATGTAAAAGATGTCTGACTTTCATAAACTGAGGTCACAACCCATAATGTTAACATGTAGATTTTAACATTTTGAATTACTCCAGGGGCCTGTTCGTTTATGTAGAACAACCGGTTTGTCTGTTTTTTAAAAGTAACGTTTTAGGGTATAAATCCTGGCTGACCTGCAAATGTTGATGCAGGTCTTGCAAGGTTTTGTCAAGGCTGAGGCCTGAAATCAGCATCAGATTTCTAGGTCCAACCTTATTTCATAAACTAACAATGCTGTTTTTATCTGTTCAGCCATTTGTATCGTGATAAACATCTGTTCAGCCATTTGGATCGCGATAAACATCTGTTCAGCCATTTCATTTGGATCACGATAAACATCTGTTCAGTCGTTGGGATCACGATAAACATCTGTTCAGCCATTTGGATCGCGATAAACATCTGTTCAGCCATTTGGATTGCGAAAAAACATCTGTTCAGCCATTTGGATCACGATAAACATCTGTTTAGCCATTTGGATTGCGATAAACATCTGTTTAGCCATTTGGATTGCGATAAACATCTGTTCAGCCATTTGGATGGCAATAAACATCTGTTCAGCCATTTGGATGGCGATAAACATCTGTTCAGCCATTTGGATTGCGATAAACATCTGTTCAGCCATTTGGATTACAATAAACATCTGTTCAGCCATTTGGATTGCGATAAACATCTGTTCAGTCATTTGGATTGCGATAAACATCTGTTCAGCCATTTGGATTGTGATAAACATCTGTTCAGCCATTTGGATTACGATAAACATCTGTTCAGCCATTTGGATTGACATTAACATCTGTTCAGCCATTTGGATTACGATAAACATCTGTTCAGCAATTTGGATTGACATTAGCATCTGTTCAGCCATTTGGATTGCGATAAACATCTGTTAAGTTAACTGGATCACGATAAACATCTGTTCAGACAACTGGATCGCGATAAACATCTGTTCAGTGATAACCATCTTTTCAGCCATTTGGATCGCGATAAACATGTGTTCAGCCATTTGGATTGTGTAAACATCTGTTCAGCCATTTTGATCGCGATAAACATCTGTTCAGCTATTTTGATCGCGATAAACATCTGTTCAACCATTTGGATTGCGATAAACATCTGTTCAGACATTTGGATCGCGTTAAGCATCTGTTCAGACATTTGGATTGCGATAAACATCTGTTCAGCCATTTGGATCGAGTTAAGCATCTGTTCAGCGATAAACATCTTTTCAGCGATAAACATCTGTTCAGCGATAAACATCTGTTCAGCGATAAACAAAAGCGGCCCAACTGTTTGTTAAGAAGTCACTTTCTTTCAAAGTTCAAAAAATGTAGTTTACAGTATTTGTAATGGTTTCTCATTGTATATATCATGTGGCAGATTACAATGATTCATATTGTCGTATTCAGGGAAAATACTTAAGTATTCTTCCACACTTGTTAAATATGGTATTGAACATCAAAACCATTAGGAAAACTCCATTTGGGTCATAATAAATTCCATTTTATTTATTTCAACTAAGAAAATATTATGAAGCATAAACTATTATGTATGCTACATAACAAATATTTGTCTGTTGGTAATGAAACGCACATAGTTATTGGTTGTGCAACTTTAAATATTTGAATGGCAGGTAACTCTAACATAAACTCATGACTATTATATATTTCTCTTTACAGAACACAGTTTTGTTTGTTTGTGGTCTGCGCTGTACTGGTGATTATTCTGCTGGCGGTAGGGCTGTTTTTCCTGACAAATAACACATCGCCTGGAGTGCCGACACTAAAACCGTCGCCGTCCATCCTCGGGAAATATAAACATGCAGCTCTGGCTACCGATCACTCGATATGTTCTGAAATCGGCAGGTGAGGAACTTCGCAACTTAAAGACTATTTCAACTAAGGCATAGCTGTTATAACAGGGCAAAGATGGAACCTTGTTAATCCAAGCTCTTGATTTTGTATACAAATACATGTACCAGATTAATGCTAGTTATCAGGATTAAATCAATACTAATTGTGACGTAGTTAATTTCCCAATATAAACATCAAATGTGTCACTTTTTTCAGGGGTTGGGGGTGCCCATGTTAACAGAGGTCAGATTACAGAGTAACAATACACAGAGTCAGGTTCCATATACCACTAGTCTTCTCTAGAAACATGAGTCTATTCAATTGATATTTAGTTGTAAGATCTATAGAGAAGTAGATATTTAGTTGTAAGATCTATAGAGAAGTAGATATTAAGTTGTAAGATCTATAGAGAAGTAGATATTTAGTTGTAAGATCTAAAGAGAAGTAGATATTTAGTTGTAAGATCTATAGAGAAGTAGATATTAAGTTGTAAGATCTATAGAGAAGTAGATATTTAGTTTTGTTACACCTCAAGTGAATTTCTAGCTATTTGATTGGTTGGGAGAAAATTAAACAAAAATCTCTGTCACACTCCGAAAATACATTGGTCGTAAGGGGCGCGGGTGATATTGCCATGAGACAGTGAAAAATATCACATGCGCTAGAAATGTGCGTTCACCGCTTCGTTTCCCCACCGTGATGGTCACAAGAACGTTTGACGGCAACAGCCAATTTTATCAAGCGCCGATGCGATAGCGATTGTAAACAGCAGACTATCAACAAACAAGATGTCATTATCGAGGTTTGCTGCTGTTTCTGAGCTACAAAGACTTTTGGTATAACAAAATAGATATGACATTTATTAGCAGGTGACAGTGAATATTGTCAACCCGAGAAAACCATTGTCACCCGAGGCGAAGCAAGATATTTAGTTGTAAGATCTATAGAGAAGTAGATATTTAGATAGAAGCTAAAACGTTTAAAAAAACACCATAATATTTAGCAAGTAATTATGATGTTTATTGAGGAGCTTTGACATTTAAAGAATTCCCTTCTTCGAGAGAGATCTTGCTTAACGAGGAAGAGATTTTTATGAAAAAAGGAGAAATCAGAAACCTTGTAATTATATACATGTATAATAATTTTGGGGTATTTACAGAACAATTCTGGAGAAACAAGGTGGGAGTTCTGTTGATGCAACTATTGCTGTACAGATCTGTTACTCAGTCATCCAACCCCAGAGTAGTGGAATCGGCGGCGGCTTCTTCATGGTCGTGTATAACAGGACAAGTCGGGAGTCGACCTCAATCGATGCCCGCGAAGTTGCACCACTTGCGGCCTCAGAGGACATGTTTGTAGACAAACCAGGGGAGTCAGAAGTCGGTAGGTTAAGCTTACATTTTCTGAATGGTGGAGCATTCAGTTTAGTGAAAACCTTTGGGCTTATAATGAAGTCAGAGTTAAACAATAAATGGTGTTTTCAATAAGATTCATCAGTTTGGTTACTTTATACACAAGCAATGTACGTAACAAATGTGTCCCAACATTTCAAGACTGACTGGTCTCTTTGTCAAGTTATCACCTGACACACTCATAGCTTGACAAAGGGAATAGTCTGTCTTAAAGTCATTTAGAGAATTGTTTGTGTATAAAGTAAAACTTCAACAATAAAAAATGGTGATAATATTATAAAGATAACATGATGCTTGTTTGTTTGTGTTTAATGGCCCATCGACAACTATGATTATTTAGGGCCAGAACAGTCTTATAAGGTGAGGCAACTGTTTGACAAAACGTATTTAAAAACAGATAAAGCTTGTATATCTTAAAATGCATTTATTGTACAAAAACAGCTCGGTTGTTTCCAAATTCTAAAATTTATGTTTTTTGACATATGCAATAGGCAACGCAGGTTTCTAGGGGATTGAGCATATTACAATGTTTGCTTAACGTAGCATTGTATTTTGGACACTAGCGCCACACTTTCCATATATGGAATCTGATTTCTCTTTATATGAAATCTCGTGATTATGTTTTCACGTAATCTTGTAAAATAATTTTTCATTGTAAAAAAATAAAGTATTGTTCAAATTAAATTTGACCTAGGTCAACTAGGGTTTGTCATACCAATGTATTTAACCATATAAACATGATAATTACACGTAGAACACACCTCTCTCATTTGTCTGTCATAGGCGGCAAGTCCATAGCGGTTCCCTCAGAGATCCATGGATACAAGAAAGCTCATGACAGATTCGGACGACTACCCTGGTCCGCCCTGTTTGCGCCCTCCATCAAGCTCTGTATGGACGGGTTCCCCGTACCTCAACACCTGGAAGACTATTGGATCATGGAGCGAAACAAACTTGCAAAGGATCCAGATACATTGTAATGATATGATATCAGATTATAACTTAGAAATATACACAAAGTAATGTGAGCAAACTCATCTTTTTAGTATTCTAATATTTTCGTAGTTTGTGCTAATTTCTGTACACCATTAATATCATAGAAATGCATTTTACCTAAACTGTGTTAGTGCAGGGAAAGAGTTAGTACACTCATTTATGGCTTGAGTGTGAAGGCTTGACTATGTGTTTGCTGAACGTTGTTCTGTTTGTTATTAAAATAACAGAAACATTAAATTGTTTTTATGAATATATTTTTATCATTACGGTGAAACATACAGAAAAATTACAGCAAATAAAATGTTTCACAGTGTATGCCACACATTTTATTTCCTATTTTTTTGTATTTTATGGATATATTTTTATTATTACAGTAAAACCTATACTGACCCTGCTACCGGAGACTTTTACAAAGCTGGCGAGATCATTAAACTTCCTGCATTGGGAAAGACCCTACAAACCATTGCAACGGAGGGGGCAGAAAGTTTCTACTCGGGGAACCTGTCCAAAAACATTCTACTGGACCTCAAGGAGAAAGGTAGGATATTTAACGCCAATAATGAAACACATCTAATCTACTGGACATGAAGGGTAGACCAGTCTTGTTCTACCTTACCTGAATGACAAGAGCTGTAAAGGTCATTAACAAAAACGGATCCAAGGATTCCAAATGTTTTTTGGGATGACTTGCATCTTTGAATACTAATTTGTCCCATGGGTGCATGACGTGTGGCGTCTGGTTGACACTCAGTTTTGTCCAGGTGGAAGACCAAAACAAAGCTGGGAGGAGTCAAACTTTCTATTGTGTTACATGTATTCGTAATGTATTAAGTTCATTGTCCACCATACTGTACCCTTTGTTTGGCACCAAACCTGGACCAGAGGTGCAATGTCTCGGTGGGTATAATTATAAAGGATGGCTAAGATCACTTCGTGAAATACCATATATACCAGGAGGGCACTGTTTTCATTGAAGAATTCATGACGGCAAAGTATGATAGGAAGGCAAGGTTTTCATTGAAGTGGATGGAATTGCCTTGTTGCAGACTAATATCTAAAAGTCTGTTCCACTTTTTGCAGGAGGGCTTTGGCCTTTGTTTGCTAGGAGGGTTGCAAATTTTGTTAATCTAATTCTATTTAATCTAATCTGTAGGTTCTCTGATCACCGCCCAGGACCTGCTGGGATACCAGACCCTGATGAGTAAGAGCTTACAGTCGAGTATGAGGGACGGCAGCACACTATACTCCCCCGGGGCCCCGTCTGGGGGAGCCATACTCATCTTTATCATGAATATCTTAGATGGTGAGTGTCCTGGGGAAATGACATTGTGCTGGGTAGGGATGGGTGTTGTTAACCCTTTTATCCCTATGTAACTTAAGAAGACTCTACCATACAATGATGTGGATGAGTCCATTATGGTCTACAGTGGTGAAAAGGTTAAATGAGATCACATTTCTCCATAGAGGCATAAAGGGGGCTACATTGTCTTGGTGCTGTTCCTATAATTTACACTGTACAGCTTAGTTAGTACATGATGCCCTTCATAATTATTATTGTCAAGTGCAGTAAAACCTTGTTATACTGTCACCATTTGGCCAGAAAAAAGTGGCGTTACAAAGGGGTATGGGGATATTGAGGAAAACATGTATCAAAGAAATTCTGAAGAAAAAGAGAAAAAAGGCCCATGAAATTAGAGCGATGGTAAGTGAGGTGGCAAATGATACCAGGGGCACTATATCATGGTTTTCCTGTAATGAATATTCATAATTTAAATTCATTTTGCGTAATCATTTATTATAACTCTATCTTCATGATTACAGTTTAGATTAAAGACTATAACAAATTTAAACAACAGATTTTTGTTTGTGCAATGTATAAAGATTTGTTTATTTTTCTCTAGGTTATGAAATTGCTTCAGGAAAAGATTGGAAAAAAGAAGACAAACTTCTTGCTTTTCATCGTGTGACCGAGGCATTCAAGTTTGCGTATGCCAAACGCACGGACATGGGAGACCCAAAATTTATCAAGCATGTTGATGGTGTACGTATCTTTACTATCATAACTTGTTCATATACACCTGGGCCACTTTGGTTTATCACGATCCATACGGTTGGACCAGAGTTGTTTGATTATGAAATAAGGTCGGACCTAGTAATCTGATGCTGCCTTCAGGCGAGTCTTGACAAAGCCTTGCAAAGCCAGCATAAACATTTGCAAGTCCGCCAGGATTTTTACTTGAAAATGATAGATTCAAAACCAGACGAACAGGTTCTTCCACATAAATGAACAGGCCCCTGTACTTGAATGCATAAGAGAAATCACATGAGATAAAAAAATTACTTGAATTTCGGTCAAATTTTGACATAAATATTTATTCATACTAATGTCCCATGCAAACTTTTTATCCGTATTACAGCTGGTAGCCAACCTCACCTCTATGGACTATGCAGATGCTATCCGTAAGATGATCTGGGACAACGCCACCCACGACTGGCCTTATTACGGGCCTACATACTACGACAAGTACAAAACAAGCACTGCACACGCATCCATTGTAGGCAACGACAACTTGGCAGTGGCTGTTACTACGACAGTCAATCTAAGGTATGTCAAAACACACGACTTTTGTCCCTCTGATTTCCTGTTTATTTCGTTCATTCTGTGATCCTTTGACTGTGATTTAAGTCATTCTGATTGCTGGTGACTTTAGTTCCTTTGACTGCGATTTAAGTCATTCTGATTGCTGGTGACTTTATTTCCTTCGACTGTGATTAAACTCCTTTTGATTGCAGGTGACTTTAGTTCCTTCGACTGTGATTTAAGTCATTCTGATTTCTGGTGACTTTAGTTACTTCAAGTGTGATTAAAGTCATTCTGATCGCTGGTAACTTTAGTTCCTTCGAGTGTGATTTAAGTCCTTTTGATTTGTGGTGACTTTAGTTCCGTTGACTGGTTTAAGTCCTTCTGATTGCTGGGGACTTTAGTTCCTTTCACTGCGATTTAAGTCATTCTGGTTGCTGGTGACTTTATTTCCTTCAAGTGTGATTTAAGTCCTTTTGATTTGTGGTGACTTTAGTTCCGTTGACTGGTTTAAGTCCTTCTGATTGCTGGTGACTTTAGTTCCTTCGACTGTGATTTAAGTCATTCTGATCGCTGGTGACTTTAGTTCCTTCGACTGTGATTTAAGTCATTCTATCACCCAGTGAATCCTATTCCCACCATCTTCCTGTGAATGATTTTTAGTTTCTCAAACTGACTGCAACGTTAATCTCTGTCTATCTGAAGGTTTTCAGTCCCTTTGACTGCCCATTGAACTATCTGATTTAATACTTATATTTACAGTATTTGCTTTACTTCCACCCATGTCATTCTGGGGAATTTAGGTCTTATGGGAATGTCAAATTGAATAATATCCTTTGCTTTCAGCTAAGTGATAGAAAAGCCACACTATTTGAAGTAGGTTTTCCCACTTATTAACAAGTCACAAGTAAACAAAATAGTTCCATAACAATGTGCAGTTTCCTTGAAACATAGATCACAAGAATTACTGCTAATTATTCCTTATGATAAATAAACATTAGATTATACAATCATGTATTATATTATTATTTCCTGTATTTCCTGGAAATTTTACGCTGTAGTTTAATTTTTATCTTTTTTGCCCTCAGCAAACATCTGTAAACAATATAATATACAAAGTAAGTAAACGTGAAAGGTGAATTGAATATTGGACGAAAATAGAATTTACTGTTTAAGGGCGAACATTTTCCGGGTTACAGTATTAAGTTGCAATGTGTTTCATTTGTGTATTACATGTGCTACAGAGTTTCAACAGTTATGAAAGTTACTCAGTTTTAAGAGACAGTTCCGTGATCTGTTAAGGTGGAATGTCATGATTTAAGATAATTTTTGTGGTCTTTTAAGGTTTGGATCTGGTGTTATGGGATCAAGAACAGGAATATTGTTTAACGACGAAATGGATGATTTCTCAACACCAAATAAGACAAACTTCTTCGGTGTTGCTCCATCACCGAGTAATTTCATTAGGCCAGGCAAACGTCCTGTGTCATCCATGTGTCCCGCCATTCTTATCACAAAAGACAACAAAATTAAGATGGTCGTAGGGGCAGCAGGTGGAACACGAATCACCACGGCAACAGCCTACGTAAGTAGTCATATTTATATACACCACATTTAAATGGAAAACTTGGTTTTTGGAACTAAATTGTTTATACTTGCAGTGATTAACGATTACTGAGGTTTTACAACATTGGCAATGTAACAACACTTTTACTGTCATCGTTTAATAATCATGTTTTATTTTTTTTTAAAGTGATCAGCATATGTCTTTGTGTTATTGTGAAATATGTAACGAGGGTGAGAAAATGTTCGGAAAAATAATTGACGAATGACAACCAATAGTACATGGTTATTGACCAATGAAAAATGTGGTTGCATCTCAAACTTGGTACAATGTACAATAATATGCCCATACCTGTAAAATATTTCCAGCAAACCATGTACCAAAGGTATGTGTAAACCATCCCCCATATTGCAGACAATTTGGCGTGGTGTAAATCTACATGTTTAGTATTAAAATACACCGTATTCAATAAATCCAGGGTTAAAGATTGTTTTGATTGGATGGAGAGGGTCATAATTTTCTCCATATATGGCCTATTTACGCGGTTGGCCCCGGGTTTCAGTTTGTCCTCAGTAAATGTTTTCTTTTACACCAGAGCATGTCCACATTCATGAAGGGAAAGGTTATTGATTTGTCTGCCACTGCACCAATAGAAATGTTGATTATTGTCTTAAATATTCCAGGTGATGACAAATATTCTGTGGTTTGGTGACACTGTAAAACAAGCGGTGGACTACCCTCGTATACACCATCAGCTGTTACCTCCAGAAGTGTCTTACGAGCAAGGTTTCCCAGAGGTATACATTCTAATCACTACACTTCTCATATATACACTACCCATATATTTTTTTTACTACATAATATTTTTTTTACAATAATATTTCATGTACCTTGGTAATTCAATTTTGTAGTCACTTATATGTCAAAAATGAAAATTTAAGTTTCTGCTGAAACGGACAGCTACCTATATTTTTGTGCCAACCCTGGGCCGTTTTTGTTTATACGGTTGAACCGGTCGGACCACAGTTGTTCGTTTATTAAATAAGGTCGGACCTAGTAATCTGATGCTGCTTTCAGGCAATCCTTGACAAAGCCTTGCAAGTCTGCAAAACCATTTGCAGGTCTGCTAGGATTTATACCCGAAATTGTTATATTTATAAACGTCAGCATGAACGAACATGCCCCGGGAGTTTTTGTAGGCATTTTCGAGCAAGGGAGTGAAGTCAGATTTCTTCCTTTTAAACACTATTAAAGTAAATACCGGGTACTAAAAATAAAATGTATGTACCTGATAAAATATTTCTGACCAACAATTCCTGCTTTTTTTCTGGTATGTTTCTAATTTCTTTCCTGGCCTTATGAACATTAATTGTTCACATTCAGAGTGATTACAGATACTATTCATGAAAGTTTGATAAAGAATATAGTTTTTTTTTTGTTTTTTTTTCAACTTACAATTCAATATTCACCCTTCATGCATTTTAGCAAACCTTCTTAGAAATATGAATTATAAATTTTGAGAACATTTTATAACTTTGTTGTTTCTAATGTGACATGTATATGTCTTTGTTTTCCAGTACTACGTGAACGGTCTGAGGGAGCTGGGACACAACGTGACCCTGTCCAACTCTAAATCTATAGTGAATGCAATCACAGGTGACGGTAGCTGGTTCTATGCCAACAGTGATTACAGGCGCCCAGGCAGCAATCCTGATGGGTTTTGAGATGGAATTATAATTTGTAAGAATATTTCAGGTGCAATATCATCTGTGACAACACATCGGAGGTGGTAGACTATGGTATGCAGGTTATTGGAAGAAGAATACATTGGCATATTGATTAAATTACTAATAATGGAATTGCTTTGTTCGACCTAATTAAGCGAATTTTAATAAATTCTTCGTAAATCTAAACAATGCTTTTTCTTAGATAGTAAAGGCCGTTTGGAAATAACGATAACAATTTACTGTAAGCATACATACTTCAGCGTTACCATTATTGTAGCACTTTTCATGCTGTAAATATTCCTCTAACTTATGATTGATCAGGGTGAAATCTTCATATACTATTTTCTTTTGCATATATTGTGGTTCTGCTGGTCCATATATTGTGGTTCTGCTGATCCATATATATATATACTGTGGTTCTGCTGATCCATATATTGTGGTTCTGTGGTTCTGCTGGTCCATATATTGTGGTTCTGCTGGTCCATATATTGTGGTTTTGCTGGTCCATATACTGTGGTTCTGCTGGTCCATATATTGTGGTTCTGCTGGTCTATATACTGTGGTTCTGCTGGTCCATATACTGTGGTTCTGCTGGTCCATATATTGTGGTTCTGCTGGTCTATATACTGTGGTTCTGCTGGTCCATATACTGTGGTTCTGCTGGTCCATATATTGTGGTTCTGCTGGTCCATATACTGTGGTTCTGCTGGTCCATATATTGTGGTTCTGCTGGTCCATATACTGTGGTTCTGCTGGTCCATATATTGTGGTTCTGCTGGTCCATATACTGTGGTTCTGCTGGTCCATATATTGTGGTTCTGCTGGTCCATATACTGTGGTTCTGCTGGTCCATATATTGTGGTTCTGCTGGTCTATATACTGTGATTCTGCTGATCCATCAATGTGCTAATCTGTGACGTTCACTATTGAAATGTTAACTGTATCACTTGAATACCATGCTATTCAGTTAATACACCCATGTCATATATTTTGTGTAATTGAACTTATTTAACATAATCCATTGCCATGTTGTAAAATGATAATGAAATTATCTCGCAAACTTTCCTGTTGTGACATCCTAGAAAGCATAATAGGTATTGGGCCAAGATTGTAGAGTATTGTTACAGTGACCTGGAAAAGACTGCTTTCTCACCATATTTTCAAACATTCGTTATCGTGTGAAAACGACCTTTGACCAAGCCTTTAAAATTGACCTTTGACCAAGCCTTTAAAATTAACCTATGACTATGCCATCGATGTGTTTAAACTTCTATTTTTCTTAATTGTTCAACAAGCTTTGGAGGTACAGTACATCATGTTGAGCATGCGCTCCATGGGACCTCCCGAGATAAAGTCACTGTGTGCAGAATTTGCTGCTTAGTTTAACGATCATGAGAAAACATACAAAGTGAGAAGAAGGGGGTTTTGCTAAAAGTTAGTAAATGCATGGATTTGTGAAATAAGATATCTAACTAATTGGTACAAACATAGAAAAAATTATGTCTTCAGTGGCGTATCCAGAGACCTATCTGGGGAGGTGGGTCCAAATCTACAGGGAGGTTTCCATGAGGGGGGAAATGGAGGAAAAAATGGTGAAAATACATGATCTTTAAAGAAAATTCTCCGGGGGGGGGGGGGCTTGCAGCACAAGAAAAACTCTGGATCCGCCACTGTGTCTTTCTTGGAAGTGTGTCAATGCTGGTGTATGTAAAGTTATGGATCTACCTACAAGTGTGTAAATGTCAAAATCTGTGTCTACCTACAAGTGTGTAAATGTCAAAATCTGTGTCTACCTACAAGTGTGTAAATGTCAAAATCTGTGTCTACCTGAAAGTGGGTCACTTCTGCTGTACCAGGCATGTAAATGGCGAAAATTGTATTGATAACTGGATATAGATCTCAATATATTAATTATTTGTGTCTTGTAATGTAGTTATTGAACAGATAGCACTGTTTTTGTCCCCAAAACAATGTCATGAGAAAATACCCATTCTGTGACTGTTTTATAATAGGATTGATGAGGCACTATAATATGTTATTTCAAACAAAATATTTCATTTAATACCTTTCAAATTTGGCAAATTGGTTATGTACTTTACAAAGTTGTTTGAATTATTTACCATTTGTAATCTTCTAGTTAACCTACCACAGTTTGTGTGTGTTCAATCCTTATTAATGAGGTCGGCTACATCATCTTCATTGTCAAATGATATTTACTTAGTTGTCGTATAATGGTCGAAACATTTACATCTGCATCACATGTGTGTTTGATGTTTTTGCTCAAATACATTTAATGAAGTCCGAAACCCAAAAGCAAGGTATGCCTACTATTGTGCCCCGTGATATTGTACACTTGACTCTCGCACGAGTAAGGTTTGCTGATGAGGAAGTGATGATCATAGGAAAAATAATTTACCCAGAGAAAATATTAGAAGAAGATGATGCATTGGGAATTAGCAATTTGTGCACTTCTCTTCAAAGGTCTGGTAGCAGTAACATATGGACGTGTAAAGTTGACTTAGTTCTTCATCTTATAAAAAAATACCAAGTAACTTTTTTCAAGCTTTCGGGCTAAGTCCTTCGTCAGGGAGTGAATAGTCCTCCACCACTTCACTTCCTGTATTCACTGATAGTGAGGACCATTTACTCTCTGACGAAGAGCGAGGTTCGAAAGCCTGGAAATAAATTTAATTTTAGTGTTGTATTTATGATATGTTCGTGTGAAATCATTGTTAGTAGGTATCAAATCTCTATCACTGAAGAAACTAAATGTATACGTTTTTATTTTATTTTTTATGTTTATTAGATATTCGGAGACAAACAGTTTATTTAAATGCTGTGTGAGAGAGATTTTTGTTACAATGTTTAAGATTTATGCTTTGTCCTCATTTATTTTCAAGTACATGAAATACTTCTGTATACAATGTTCACAATAAATAGGCATCATATGATTTATATATTATCTGGCAATGATTTGGTGCCTCTCTTATTAGCTCAACGGGTCCGAAGGACCAAGGTGAGCTTATGCCATACTGTGGCTTCCGTCGTCCGTCGTCCGTCCGTCAACAACTTCTTTAAACGAATTATTCTTAACCACTGATTGGAATTTATTCAAATTTGCCTGGAAGTATCCCTAGGTGGTGCGGGATTTAAAATTGCACAAATGGTGGGGCTGACCCCCCATGGGGCTGTAGGGCGGGGCAAAAAGGGGACAATTTGGCTATATTGTTTTAAGCGACTTCTTCTCTGGAGCTAAGAAATGGATATCAACCATATTTGACTGGAAGCATTCCTAGGTGGTGGGGATTCAAAATTGTACAAATGGTGGAGCTGACCCCCTAGAGGGCTGAGGGTGGGGCCAAAAAGGGGGCAATTTGGCTATATTGCTATAAACGACTTCTTCTGTAGACCCATGGATATCGATCATATTTGATCGGAAGCATTCATGGGAGGCAGAGATTAAAATTGTTCAAATGGTGGGGCTGACCCCCTGGGCTAAGGGGTGGAGCCAAAAGAAGTTTATTACTTGGAAATGGTTGAGATCCCCACCATATAACCATATATACAATTGCTGAGTAAAAAGAGAAGAATGCACATTTGCTTCCAGGTTGGCCCTAGGGTCTGGCCCCACCCTTGGAGACATAGTCCCTGGGGCCATAACTTTAAAACGGTTGAGATCCCCACCCCAAAACTATATATACAAATGCTTTGCATAAAGAGACGAATGATATTAGAATAGACCTTGGGGTCTGACCGAACCCCTAGGGACCTAATTTCTTAGTCACAGCTTGGAAACAGTTGAGATCCCCACCATTAAACCGTATATACAATTGCTGAGTAATAAGAGATGAATGTACAAATGCTTCCAGGATGGCCTTGGGGACTGCCCCACCCTTGGAGACTTAACCCCTGGGTCATAACTTTGAAATGGTTAAGATCCCCACCCCGAAACTATATATACAATTGTTGGGCATATAGAGACAAATGCAGTCATGATATAAGAATTGATCCTGGGGTCTGGCCACAACCCTAGAGACCTAGTTTCTGAGTCACAGTTTGGAAACAGTTGAGATCCCCACCCCATAACCATACATAACAATCTAATACTGGTATGCTACAAGGATTGGCCTTGGGGTCTGGCATATTCCCTTGGATCTCATTTGGAGAATATTTAGCCATGATTGCTTAGATATCCAGGTGAGCGATACAGGCCCTCTGGGCCTCTTGTTTATGTTAGATATGTATCATTTGTGATGATACCCATTGTAAAGTAGAAATGATGCTTGTATTTGTGTTGTAAATTCACTGTGATTGACAAATTTACAACACTACCTTTTTTTCCAATTCATTTTGGAAGTGTGTTATTTAATGTAGGTAAATCATGTGATAAACTTAACAGTCTCAGTTCTAGTAAAATATTAAGATAAATATGTCTTTTCTTACCTTTACACATTCTATTATTCTGAAAACATCACCAGCGCGTCATCACTGTAGCATTGTACCTAACCAGGGTAACATTATTAGTTTTGTTGTACATATCATGCCCCCTTAATGATAGCGAGGTGCACTGGATTCGTTATAACATTGTAATTTTACGGTAGGAAGTATGGGCGAAAAACGATTAGTCACTCCCATTTGATGTGAATAGAAAAACATAAACCCCCATCATACAAAGTTTTAAGTTTCTTACTCTGTAAAGTACTTCAAAAATCTTAACCTTGAGTTGATATTTCTCTGGGTTTTTTTGTAATTTTATTTTTTGAAAGGTTTTCAGCATTACAAAATATCTTTCAATAGTAATTTTCACACTCACTTGTTTATTCTTGCAGCGTTATAACTTGTGTAGACCAGAATAGACTGTATATGTATTTCCCATTTCCCATATTTCATTATTTAAATGTCTAAGTTATTTTTGAAGTCAATGCATTTATTTTTGTTATAGAAGTTGCAATGTAAAATTTGTCTTTAAATGTCTTGGAAAAAGAAAGAAAAAACAGCATGTTTTCAAATTTTC